AAAAAATGGATACCTTTGCTCTATTACTTAGTAGGTCCCATATATTTGTTTGACATGAACGAAAAAATGGACTTAGTAGGTCCCATATATTTGTTTGACCTGAACAAAAAAATGGATACCTTTGCTCTATTACTTAGTAGGTCCCATATACTTGAAATGGCCAAACATGTATGCACCATCACAACATGTTCTGATTTTAGGCCTCCTTATGAATCTAGGGACCGGCATTCCCCTAGACTTCAATACAGCTGTCAGAGTATACACATCCTCTTGGACTCCTCCATCCAAAGAAAAGAATGTTGAAACTTTTATGCACATAAAAACAATCAAATCTTAATTTTGGTTTATTAACTTTTTTACAGACATTTTTTTTAACAATTTGTAATTATTTACAGGGTTAATTAAAGGAGGAAAGAAAGGGATTTCGTGAGGTTCAAATGTACAACTCACCGGAGATGAACAGCTCTAACTTAAGATTCAATATCACTAAATCAGAACTAACCGTTCAACTTTTTTACAGACATTTGATTTTAGTCCGTGTGGATAAAGATATCCCCACTTTGGGCCATAAAAATTGAAATTCCGGCTCCTTTTAGTTATTCCCATGAGGAATGCTAGCTGCACTCGCCTTTCTCCAGCACTCTCCAACACTCTCTCATGTAAAATGTCCACGTAACAAAATTTGGCTCGCAATTCAAAGTTTCCAAGTAGAAAAGTTCACGTGGCTATTTTAGATGAGGGAGTGTTGGAGAGTGCTGGAGAAAGGCGAGTGCAGCTAGCATTCCTCTATTCCCATTAAATGCAAATGCACAATTGGACTAGTTGCATCAATTTGTTAGTGTCTTATTAATAAAAAAAAAATGAATTAAAATATTAAATTACAATTTTACCCTTAATTCCTCACTCCTCCCTGGCCTCTTTCTTCCCTGTCCAGTTGTCCATTGGCATTTTTGCAATCAATGATAATGTAATCTAAATGGAGAAAGGTGGTCTTAAGTATGGATTATATTTTCTTGTACAATTTATATATTAAAATTATCAAAATACTATTAATAAATAAATATAAAAGATAGTTTTATTAAAAAGGTTTGTCTAAGGTGTAATAAGTGTATTTTTTTAATTAATTTACATTAAAAATTATAAAAATTAATATATATTTTAACATTACTGACACATAAATAATTTTAATTGGTTAATTAATTAAATTAAAATTAATATTTATATATTTTTTTTAAATTAATTATAAAAAAATACATTTATTACACCTTTATCGTATACTTTTAAGAACACACAATAAAAAAAATCTTTATTAAAAATATTTCAGTAATTTCAGCACTTACATTGCACAAAAAAGCACAATCTAGTTTAAAAAACACATTTCTGGTCTAAATTTAAGTCTGTATAAATTCGTTGTTGATATCAATGACTTAAGCTTTACTTCCTCGTGCGTTTGAATTTGGGTGGAATAATGAGAAAGGTGTTATTTTGAGTTCGTGAGATCTCATACCCTGCTTCTGTTCTTTTCTTCTGCAGTGGATCTAGAAACTCCCCAATTAGTTGAACCGAAGCCAAATTTTCCTTCCACTTTGCCATCCATCTCGGCAACCAAAAAAAAAAAAAAAATCCAGCGTGAACTCGAAAGATCAAAAGAAAATCCAAAAATTAGGTTTTTTGCAACAAAAAGAATCTGGACAATTTCAAATTGCATGGATTCATGAATTCAATCCTTCTAATCGTCCAATCTGATGAATTCTTTCACCAAATGCAACCCTAACCAAACAATTCCTACAACCTAATCTTCTTAATTAATAGCACAGAAAATTAACAACAAAGGAACAAACTTCAAGCATTCCAAACTTTTTTTAATCAGAACCCCCAAATTATTAATAAAGTTAATTTCCTAATGTCTTCCACAGTTCCACTTAAAAACTTATCTTAATTCACTCTTCATTGTTTAAATTATTAAAGAATAAATATGTAATTTTGAAATTATTTAAAACCTTTTCTTCTCTTTCGTTACTTAACTAAACATAAAATAAAAGAGAAAATTGTTAAGAGATGTTATT